TCATTCTGCCTGTAAACATGATAACTTGAAGGAATTCTGAGAAAACTTGGTAGGGGTGCAGAGTGCGGTCATGTTAATCATCCATCAAAACCTGGCTTCCAGTTCAAGGTCTTCAAGGTCAACTTTATGATTTATTGGACAAAAATTGACAGAAAGCTGTATAACTTTGAAACTAGGTCTATTACAAGTGTGGTTTAAGATTTAAGATATCATGTCACATTTGACCTCTGACCTCTCCTTCAAGGTCAACAGGTTAGCCTAAAAGGTCAAGATGATAATAAATGCTATATAGAGCTGTTTGAAATGAAGATTCTTACTGCCATTGTTTGTACTTTCAACATACAGGTATACAGGAAGTGACATTTAGGCATTCTAAACACATCTGACCTCATCTTCAAATGCAAATAAACTCATAAATTGTTAGCTTTGATTCAAATTATACTTTCTTTGATACAGGTCTATCAGGATCAGGAAATCTTATATTATAGTCTGCATCCAATGGCATGTTACATTTGACCTCTGACCTCAATTTTACATTTTACATCTGCCTTTCTTTTAAGCTGAACCCAAAGTGTGTCACATCTTTAAATAAAGTATGAGAACGAATGGCCTACTTGGAAAGATAGTGTAGTACAGTGTTCTATAATAAGCTCAAGCTATTTACACATCAATACCTATTACCCATTAACCCACTCCTACATAATGTCTGTGTAATCAAAGCAAACATTCGTCATGCTTCCCTTATCTGACTGACTTTACTGCACCACCAACTTAATGTTCTTTTAAAAGAACAAATAAACCAAACAAATATATACAAACTAAATAATACAATATTTCCTTAACAGTAAATACCTCCAGAGAGTGGCTTGCCTTCTTGTTCTTTATCGTTCTGGCTGTATGTTTTGGGTCGTTGCCGTGCCTCCCTGAGGCCACCATGTGTTGGATAGAAATGTAGTCTCTATATTTAAATCCAAAAGGTGCTGCAATGCGTCTTTTCTGTAGCAATATATACACAATAAGTTATTTAATGTGTTTAGAAAACATGAAAACCCATTCAGTGATTAGCATTTTCTGCTCAAAACTATTCATATAGTCAAAGAATGTGATATGAAATTACTAAATTAGATGAAGCTGTCTTTAATCAAATATTAAAAAGTGTCATTTTTCATTCTTTCTTTCAATTTGTTTCATTTCTTGATTTTGTTCTTTTCTAAAAGACTGACACATTCAGCAGCATGTTTATTCAGGAGTACCATGGGATGAATGAAAGAAATGACAACACATGGCTAGCTTTGCAACTTACTAAGCACTTAAATATTAATTAAAGAGCCATGAGTACGCGCCAAATGTTAGCATATTTGTTTATCTATGAACAAACACACATTCATGTCAGTGTCCCACTTTCTCCTACTTGCACCGACGGCAGCATTAAGACGTAATTCTGCCAACTTAATCCACTTAAAACCAGAGTTTTTTTAAGGATTCTGTCTTAAGGGTTGCCCTGTGAAAGGATACAAGTACAAAACTCTCAGGAGACGGAGAATTCATGTTTTAAAAGTAAGAAGAAAGACAGTGACAGACGTGGTGTGGCAAGAGAAAATGCATATAAGCTAAAAAAATCTCTAGCCCTAGTCTCCTCTCCTTGTTTTTTATCCTCCTTTCCTCGTTTCCTTCCATCTCCTCCATTCCATGTGTAACAAATGATTTGGAAACCAAAGAGGGAGAAAAGGCAGAGGAGCAAAGACAACGGCAACCCCGGGGCTGCAAGAGATTGCTGAGGCTAGCAATGTCATGCCTGACTCGACCACAGTAAATATAACAGCAGTGATGATGGAGGACGGGCGGGGGAGGGGGTGAAGCGAGCTCATATGGATCTGCAGTTCTTTTTTTCCACACTTGGGATAAATTATGGCACGTGCACCGGGTGGGTATTTGCTGGGATAATGTCTTTCTAACCTGGACGCACCTTACAAACAGTGACCGTGTGGTACACCGACGCCGCCGGGCGCTCTGCTGATTTTTCACATTGATGAATGAAGGTCACTGTGGGGAGATGTTCAGCACCTGTGTGACATTTGCAGAAGGCGCGCTGCACGGGAGAATGTGAGCGAGTGTTTATATGTTTCAGAGTTATGACATTTCCATTTCCACATCGCACATCTCAGGGAAAAAAAAAAAGTGAAACCTGATGTATAATGCTCTAAATTTGCCCGCGGAGCCGTAAGTGGCAATGATGGGGTGTCGAGGGCTGAGGCTGCGGTGCTGCAGTGGAGAGGCGGAAGGAATGTTTTTGAACTGCGAGGTGGGTAAAAAAAAGAAATTGAAAGAAGTTCTGATGGACGGGCAAAGAGGGAGACTTAAAAGTGTTGGTGAGAAAGACACACACAGACACTGTCAAGCTACATCATGGAGTATTCTTTTTTTAGCCTCAATACAGATCTTTAGCAACACTTCATTCCTCTTTGGAAAGCGTCCAGTTAGCTTTCAGGTCTTATTTTCTTTTCCAAGCAAAACCCAAAATGCTTACCACTTTGTCTCTATAAAAAGGTGTTGGGAAGCTGTGCAGCTTTTACTCGAGATATAGAAATGAAAGACAAAAATGTGAAGCACAATATCCTCGGCAAGGAGAGGAAGGGAGGTGACGGGAGTCTCCACTTTTCATGTCACACCTGCCGATGAGATGGAAATCTTTCCCCCTTATTGCTCGTACACCAAATAGTCCCTAGACTGACAAAAATGTCCACAGTTTGATCTGAGTTGAGAGAAGAAAGTTCTTGACTGGAAAAAAAAAGTAAAGTCAAAAGTCACCTAATCCCTTTTCTCATAAAGCTGCTCCAGTCCTGGCCTTTTTGTTTTATAACACACAGAATTGGAGGTACCATAAAAACAGCAAAGTGGTAGTTGAAATGATTTTTGATTCTCCGTGGAGTTTTATATTGTTTCTTTTATATAAGTCCAACCCAGACGCAAGCATAGTCCTAAAACTAACAGTCGTCATCTACATTATGTGCAAGGTTGGTATGAAATATTAGCTTAACTAATAACTTTTATACAACCACTCAGACTATCCCTGTAAAGAGTGACTGTTCACTAAGCCCCTCCTCTAAACAGATAAATCATCACTTCATCATCATTTGCTTCTTCAAATGTAACTAAGTGTATTCAAAGCAAGTCAGAAGTTAGGTTAGACTGAAACATGAGTCTGAACTTAACACCAGGGCAAGCTAACAATACTGGAAGAGATATTTCTTGCTTTAACTGTATATCTATGGTGGTGTGGGGGGCACAGATTATTGGCAGATGAAGGTGCTCCTCTTCACCTATAATTGGGCCTTCTTTGTGACTCTCAAGCAATGCTCAGCCAGTCCTCTGCTTAGTCTCTCGTCCTGAGGTCAAATGTCAACTCCACCGTCTCAGTGCAGCAGCTCATGAACCAGTTCTCTGCCTACTTGAGGTTCTGGTCTGAGTGGCTCTCCAGCTCGCACAAGATCACAAAGATCAAGGCTGCTGTAGCCGGCTGAAGTCCAAGAACATGAGGCTGAAGCCAACAGGACGACAGATTAATGTAAAATGGAGGACGCATGGGCTGATTATCAGCAGCTGAACTTTTGAACTATCTGGTCTTTAAGTCTGACGTCATTAGCCGTGTCTGGGCCCAAACTCCGCTGCAGGTCCATAAGTCAAATGATCACTGCGGCATCACTGAGAGTTAAAAACTGTCTAAATTCTTAATAAAATGATCCGCGTTGCTGCTCTACCAGGTATAACAATTACGTTTAACATCCAGGCATCCATGAAAACAGAATTTATTAAATTTAAAAGAGTTAGAAGTTAGCAGAGAGTTAGCTCGCTAGTTTCCGCCTAAACATAATATAGCATGTTCTGACTGAGAGATTTTTGAAACTAATTAAAACGTACAGCTCTGCTATCACTTCCAACATAAGTCAAGACAGAAAACTAAACAGCAGTGACGTTTGCAGGGTTACTGAAGTTTGGCTAGCTGGTATATAATGATGTGCTACATGACCGCTAGCGACACAGCTATGTTAGCATAATATAAACACAGTGAAGCTGGAGGATGAACGCTAACTTTTTTCCACTTGATAAAAGTTAACGTGAGGGTTCGGGGACAAATGCAATCGCATGGCAGGATGCTGTAAACGGACCAAACTTTAGTCAGGAGAACAACTGAGATAATCCATCCACAATACAAGGTTAGTCATTAATATACTGCTGCATGGGCTGAGCTGTACTTACATCATAAGGTTTTAAAAACTGAACTTTGAAATTAATAGTGGTAATAAAAACCGAGAGAAGCCGACAGTGAGTGTTTTTAGGGGCTTGTTGAGATTAAATACAACAAGATATAAAGCAGTAAAACATGTTAAAAACACAGCAGCCTGATGAAACGCAGAGTAGTTTGGGCCCGGAAGCAGGATTCATACGTCATCACTTAAAGACTGAATAGGTGAGGGTACTGTTGCCTAGCAAGCAATCCTGGATCTATCAGTCAGATGGAAAAAACACACAACCAAAAAAACCAAAAAGTAGTTTCTAAAATATATTTAAGAAAATATATAAATATAAAAATAGATTTAACAACGGAAAAGACTTCTACATGGTGCGGCTGTTTGTGCCTGGAGCTTTACTGACTTTACTAAAGCTACAAGCTAAAAGGTGTTGGTTGCAAACACTAAAACAATCTGTCAGTTATCCTCAATCAAACAACAAACTTCACATATAATCTTCTATTTGGCAGCCAGACAAAAAGATGAGTCGGCTTTTTCTACCAAGAACCTGATGTTGCAGACTTAAAAAACACATGTACAGCAGTAACTGTGTGCCTGCTGTGTGAGCATGGAAAGCTCAACAAGAACGGTACGGTAATAGTAACTAAAGGGTTTGGAGCTTAGTGAAAAGTCCACCTATTCTCTGTGCTAAATGTTACCCATCAAAGTCCCACATCCACCAACCCTTCATTTCACCCTGTCCCCACTCACCATCCTCCGTGGGCACGTAGACATTGAGGTAGAGGCAGTCCTCACTCTGGTTCTGGATGTAACCGGCCGCCACGTCCAGGTTGTCTGTGAACCACACGGGTAGCATTATCTCCGGCAGTACACCGTGAACATTTTGAGGGCACACGGGGGCAAAGAGGGTGGCGTTGCGGATCTCCTGCCAGGATCCCGGGGCCTCAGGTGGCTGAAAGCGGCGATCGCCGATAGGCGCCGTAGCGTAGGGCACACCCAGGTACTGCTCCACAGGGCCAAGAATCTCATTGTTCAAGTCCTTCTTGATGCCTCTGAGCTTCCCATAGTTAGTGGTCACGATAGGGTGTTTAGAAGGATCCATCTTCTGGCTCGAGGCTAGACTGAAGAGCAGAATGAGGCCTAGGATGCTCATGAGGCACCAGTCTGTCATAAGGCTGAGGTGGCTTGTCCTGGATGACAAACTCCGCCGACTCTGTCTATTTATAAAGAATGGAAGGGGCTTCATGACTGAGTTCATACCGTTCAGCCACCTGCTTTTAGTCAGTTTGGGAAAACGTCTCTCTTTATGAGCAAAAGTGGATTATATCCAACAATCTGGAAGGTAAAAAACCCTTAATGACTAAAAAGGAGCTTTTTTAGAAACTCGACCAAGACTAAGGGCGCTGACTGAAGGTGAAGTGGAGGACAAGGCAGCTGCTTGGGAGAGAAGGGTCCTTTGGGCTCTGGGTGCCGGATAAAGGGGTTTGGACCTTGGAGTGGGTGCCAGGTCAGTGGTGATTCTGAGCAACGGTGATCCGAAACACTTCCCAAGCCATGGCTCTGTTGCGTTCCATACCTATTCGTCCTCAATTATCCAGATAATTGGATTGATGATGAATTCTGCAGAATGAGACAGAGAAGCAGGGGGGAGGAGGGAAGAGATTTAAGGGACGGTGATAAAGAGAGAGAGAGCGGGGGCGGGGGGAGGGAGGAAGAAAAGATAAAAGAGATTAAGCTTATCTGAAACAGAAATATATTCCATTAAATGTTGTCAGTTCAACATTTTTTCACCTTCAGCTGTTGCCAAGGGACCTTTTTTCTTTTTTTTTTCCTGAAATGAAAGATTTTCTAAATCCAGAGCCAGTGTTGTGGAGATCAAACTAACAAGGGTTCATTTTGGGAGCATTTCATGTGACGATCAACGTGTTTCACTTCACGTCGTTACATCACGAGGCTGAAAATGTTTCTCTCCAACATGGACGGAAGAACAAAAACAAACACAATGACACAAATGCAATTTCTGCCATCATGTTTTTACTTCCTCTGGCGTTTGCAACATAATCCCATATATGCTCCTTGCTGAGTGCACATTTCTACATGTCTCTCTATTCATTATGTATGAAAATCCTGCTGTCCCAGTGCGACCTGCATGAGGGCGCGATCCCTCCTGGCGGGCCGTGCTCAACCTGGCAGCTAGCACGCACGCATCTCTGCTGAGTTTCCACCGAACAACGCTGCTAGCGATGCCTCAATATTTCTGGTTGTTAAATTCCTCGAGGCTTCAGAGGTTCTCGTGGAGGCAACACTACAGACAGTACAGTAGACAGCGTTGGTGGACGAGTAGAAGCTGGAGATTAGGGCGAGCCTTTCACTGCCCAGTAAGGTCAAATGTCAATAATGTGCGCCTGTAAGCAGCTTAGAACAGCCCAGCTGGGGCGCTCTCTGGCTATACGCAGAACACAGAGACACACTCGTAGCATTAACTGAGCCACACATGAATGAAAGCCCACATTGTGCACAGCCATTCATGTAATCTACAGCGGAAATGTGCAAATCCTCATCTAACAGATCCAGAGTCAGGAAATGCACGAGGCGAGGAGGAGATTAGGCTGCCGTTACGTTGTTGCGTGGTGTTATGTAACGGTGCGGGACACACAAGGCCCGGCAGTAAGTAACGCTGGGAGTACAGTGAGATATCTCCTCAGTGTTAGCGCACTCTTTTTCACTCTTATCGCATTTTTTTCACACTCTCCCCTTTGCTTTATCGCCCTACCGTAATTGTCCCCTTTAAAGGCATCATTAAGGATATTATTGCATCGCCTGTACCCACCTCTGTTTTTGTTTTCTCCCCCCCCCACTCCCCCTTTCTCTCACAAGCCATTTAAAATGTAAAAGTATGGGATTTAAGAGGCTTGAGGCAAGACGGCAGATAATTAGAGTCTATAGGCTGATGAGCAGATAACACGAATAAGGAGGCTCATTCATGTAATAATAGTTTCTTATGTACAACAAGCTCTTGGAGAGGATATATTCGGGCTTTTGGGGAAATGCGTGGTGAAAAAAAAGTTAAAAAAGAGAGAGCGGTAATTGCGAGCGGGCCTGTAGCGCCTCTAATCCCTCCTTGTTTTTGTTTGTTCCCGCGCGTGCACACTAAATATATTGCCGCCTGCCTTTGTTCCTCTCCGAGTGGACTTTGTTGTTCTGCCCACGCCCCCCGTGTGTGCGTCTGGGTGTGTATCTGCTCGCTGAGAAGCGGGCAGCACGACGCGTGCTCTAATTAAACCACGGAGAGTCTGGGACGAGCCCTTCACCCACACACCCAACAATCAAAAATAACCATCTACACTGCTGTTAAACTTTCATCCTCCAACGTACATAAAAGAGACCGGCGAAGAGACGAGTGTCGGAGGGGAAGGGAAAAAAAGAAAAAGGAGCAGGGATGACGAGAGAGCCAAACTGGAGATGAAAGGTGAGAATAAGGATGGAGAGGAAACAGGTCCTGTTAATGAAAAGCTTCTCTGTGGTCAGCAGAGGCCCTTCAAGAGGCCTTGAGTCAAAGTGACACAAGGAGGAGAGATTCTCAGGGACGTGATGAGCCCAGGAAGGGGGACAACTGGACTCCTTTTTGCCCAAAACTTGCACCCCGTGGCACATGTACGTCAGAATTCCTGGCCAAGCCCCCGGCAGACACGAGTATGCCTGCGGGGACCGCCAGAATTTTGTGGTGCATCTGAGTGTTTAATTGCTAATTGGCTCAATTAGAGGGTTTAATTGGTCCAGCTCTGCCATGAGCAGTGGGAAAGCTTAAGTGATTGATGAAGCAGAGAAAGAGAGAATGGGGGTGGACTGGGGAGAGGACGGTTCAGCATGTCAACAGAGCCACACACAAGATATTCATGGGAATGTGTGTGTGGAATTTTGGCGCCACTGGCGCACGCACGCTATCATACTCACAGACGCAGATTTAAATGAACAGGTTCTCCCAGAATACTGTACTTCTCTGTATGCATGCAACACTATCTCACACTCACACACAGATGCACACTCATCCAAGATTCATGTCATCAGCAGAATGTTTTCCTCAACTCCCAGGAGGCAGTGAGACTGAGGGAGACTGCACAGGCCACTCCGTGGCAGACTGTCAGTGGGAAACTCATCTTCCCCTGCACTTCTTTTTCATCTCCTACTTATTTCTAATCTAAATGAGAAAGGCAAATGATGCTGCAATTCAAAAAAAAGAAAAAAAAAGATTTTCAATTCGAAACCAGTCTTTACCGCAAGATACTTTGTTACATCCATCCATCCATTCGCTTCCGCTTATCCTTTTCAGGGTCGCAGGGGGCGCTGGAGCCTATCCCAGCTGTCATAGGGCGAGAGGCAGGGTGCATCCTGGACAGGTCGCCAGTCTGTCGCAGGGCTAACACATAGGGACAGACAACCATTCACACTCACATTCACACCTAGTGGCAATTTGGATTATCCAATTAACCTATCCCCACAAGTTGCATGTCTTTGTTACAGGTCTGTGTCATTCTGAATCATCGAAGATGAGCAGCACAAAAAAACATGCGAATCAATTGCATCCCAGCGTTTTCCACAGTTAAGGATTTTTCTACTGGATGCACATGTGGGCCTTTTGTTGAGCAGTAATACAGGAAGAGAAATGTCTGGCATCAAGCTCCACAGCATGTTTTCCAGGGCTGAAAGCATGACGCCAGTGTGGAAGCTGCACTTCCTGGAGTGGCCATTTGAGGCTGGCACCAAAAGTGAGTCACTCCCCATATACTGTACTCACATGTACAAATGGCCTATTAAAAAGCATGTTTACAACCTGTTAGGAAAAAAGTGTTTGTGGTGTTGATGGTGAAATTATGACAAAATATGGCCATAAATACTGTGCTGCACACACTAACACTCAATAAGACACCCTATCATCCAAATGTGGTTCCTTCTGGTTCTTGAAAACGAAGATGGTGACAGGTAATCCTAACCCTAACGACAAGTCTTCAAAATATGGACTCCAGCAAAACGGCAGCATAGTGTTCATCTTTGCCACACAGTCTGTGATTACAACCTTCCAGCCTCACTGCGACCTTTACACCACTGTGCCACACATTCATCAACTGAGCAGGCTTGAGCAAATCAGGATCACAGCTATTGGAAAGATCCGGCCACTCAAACACTTTCATTTGACCTATACGTCTGTAAGTGATATCATTTTGCTGCTTAATCTGTTGATGTGAAATGATGCCTGCCTGGTACGAGGTTCAAATAGATGTAGTTGTCATTAGGCCAACAGCTATAACAATAACAAATATCACCATTAGTCCGTGCAGTCGATATCACTTCGGCTACAAAAGAAATGAATGCCTCAAAGAAGAGAAAACTGAGCAGTGAACGGTGAGCATATATGCATATAATGGACGACTAAATGCTTCTAAGCAAGGTGGAGAAGAAAGCGGAGTGACTGATCTGACAGGAGCAGCTGCCGAGGAGAATATCAGATAGATATTATCCAACATCTAAGCTAAAAGAACTTAAAAGGAAAAAAACAACAGCTAACGTCTCAACTGGCACACTTAGAAAGCAATGAACGATGCAGATGTAAGAAAACTATTTAAATGTGTTTATAAGACGACAAATCACAGGAACAAACTGACAAGTCAAGAATGTATGTTCACTAAAGATTAAAGAAATGTGAAATATCCCGTATAACAGAGCATCTGATATTTGGATTGGTTATTGGTCCATACCTAGACAGCTGATCGTTGACAGCAGTCCCATCGATAGGAACTATCTTTATAATTCAATTCTATGTTATTCTGTTTTACAGTTAGCAGATTGGAGGTATTCCACAAGTGGGACACCTAGAAAATCTTTATTTTTATGTTTGGATTAGTTTTTGTTTGTTTGTTTGTTTTTTTAACAGAACACCAACTTTTTTCAATTCAATTCAAGTCTATTTGTATTGTAAGGTAACAACCCTATACAATAATGCAATAATACTATGTTCAATTGAGCTGAAACAACTGACACAGATTGAGAAAAATGTTTTCCTTGTAGATTTTTTCCCCACTGCTTCCTCACTTTCAACTCCCCCATGGTGGTTCCCACGCCTGGATGAGAAAGGAGGAGGGTTGGCTGGCAACCCTATCCCACAAAACCCCAAAATATTGACAAGAGAACATCAAGGAAGCTTGAATTTGGAAAAACGACCTTCAACCCAAGGCCAAAGCACGCCATTCAGTAAAAGTCAGGAGTTTTTGGAAACTACAGGACCAAAAATCCTTCCTCCAACCAGGATTAAAACACATGGAAAGTCCAAACCATGTATCAAACTGGAAGGGCTTACTAAATTGCTAAAGCAATGCAAAATTACAGACTTGCATTATTAGGGACCAGCGAGACTAGGTGCATTCAATCAGGACAGAGCAGAACAGGGGTGGGCAACTCCAGGCCTCGAGAGCCGGTGTCCTGCGGGTTTTAGATGTGTCCTTGATCCAATACAGCTGATGTAAATGGCTACATTACCTCCTCAATATGTCTTGAAGTTCTCCAGAGGCCTTGTAATGAACTGATCATTTGATTCAGGTGTGTGGACCCAGGGTGAGATCTAAAAC